TGGTTTGTCTCTGGGACATGGGATGGTTTGTCTCTGGGACTGTGGGATGGGTTGTATGGAATTGTGGGATGGTTTGTCTCTGGGACTGTGGGACTGTTTGTCTCTGGGACTGTGGAATGGGTTGACTCTGGGACTTTGGGATGGTTTGTCTCTGAGACTATGGGATGGTTTGTTTCTGGGACTGTGGGACTGTGGGATGGTTTGTGTCCGGGACTGTGGGACAGTTTGTCTCTGGGACTGTGGGATGGTTTGTCTCTGAGACTGTGGAATGGGTTGTCTCTGGGACTGTGGGACAGTTTGTCTCTGAGACTGTGGGATGGTTTGTATCTGGGACTGTGGGGTGGTTTGTCTCTGGAATTGTGGGAAGCTTTGTCTCTGGGACTGTGGGATGGATTGCCTCAGACTGTGGGACGTTTGTCTCTGGGACTTTGGGATGGTTTGTCTCTGGGACTGTGGGACGGTTTGTCTTTCCACTCTATTCAGTGAGACAAAGTGAAATAAAAACATTCGAGCATGTGGTTGTCATTTTGGCAAAGGCTTCTTTTGACAGATTAAAAAAGAAACATTATTTTCATCCACAGATCAAACACGTCAACAAACAAAAACTACAGAATCTAAAAAAGTTAAATCTGGTCCTATGGACATTCAAAAAAACAAAACAAAGCAAAACAACAAAAAAATGTAGAAATGTTACGTCTTCTATCTGAAAGACTTCCTCAGTCTGAGGTGCTGTATTCAGCTCAGTCTTGTAAATTTTGTTTTGGTTTTGGTTGTCAGCAGCAAACTGGTTGATCCACTCTGAGTAGGTGCTATTTAAGAGACTGAGCTGAACACAGCTCCTCAGACTGAGGAAGTCTTTCGGATGAAAGACGAAATGTTTCTACATTTTTTTGTTGTTTTGCTTTGTTTTGTTTTTTTGAATGTCCAGAGGACCCAATTTAACTTTTTTTAGATTTTTCTACCTGGATTATTGAGCATGCATCAAGAAAAAACTACAGAACTATTCCATAAATACAAGAAAAAGGTTTGTAAGAATTTGTTATTCAATAAATAATTATTTCAATAAGAACAAGTTAAAGCACAACAAAGTCAGCAAGTTTCTACCTGAGTGGGAGGATTTTAAATACATCACAGTTTTTTAAAAGAGACACTGGGAAGAGGTCGGATCTCTGACCTGGTCTTTGGACTCTGCACTCGCTGGATCAGGAGAAGTTCCCTCTATGAGGAAAACTACGAGTTTGACTTGGAGACATATGCGTTTATTTTGGTGGATCATTTGACGTTAGTTCTTTAGTCTTGGAGTCTGTCCCCAGTCCTGGAATCAGTCCACAGTCCTGAAGGCCATTCTCAGTCCTATAGTCCATCCCCAGTCCTGAGGGTGTCCCCAGTCCTGAAGTTGTCCCCAGTTCTGAGGGTGTCCCCAGTCCTGTGGGTGTCTTCACTGTCCTTCTATTTTCATTGTTGGCTGTTTGTGGAGATGCACAACACTGGCCCTGTCCTGAAAGGCCATAGGAGGGTTGTGGTGTGGTGCTGGCACTGTAGACCAGGTGGCAGGAGTTACTGGTGTGTTCATCACCTCTGTCAGGGTCTTGAGCAGTACCGTTGCCTCCTTCTGGTCCTCCTTACCCTCTACTTCCAGGGTATGGGTCAGCCATCGCTCAGCAGCTTCCCCCACTTGAGAGGCTGATGCTGTTTCTGTAAGCATGTCGGCCTCCTGACTGGCATCGAAGCGCTCCACCATCTCCTTCATGTGCACGTTGACGGAAGCATTGAAGTTGGTGGGGCAGCAGCTGTGTTGGTGGATGCGGAGGGAAAAGTGGTGAAAGAAGGTGTGGGTGCAGAGCTGGCAGCAGTAGGGCCGATCACGACTGCTGTGGAGGCGGCGGTGCAGTTTCAGGTGGATGTACTGCGTGAACTTGGTGTTACACAGCTTGCACTGATAAGGTTTCTCACCAGAGTGCAGCCGAAGGTGCGTTTTCAGGTTACTGGTGCTGCTGAAGCGCTTGTGGCACACCTGGAGAACAAGAAAAAGTTCAGAGGGTCACCTGACTCATTACTGAAGTGAAAGAGTTGTTAGTCATTGTTTCACATTCCTGTCACTCTCAGCAGATGAATCCAATTCTGTCACAGCTATAAAACCTGACAGACATGTTTTTTTAATTGAAACAAGTAGCACCTTATCACTCACACCCACAGAGGCAGATTAGCAAACAGAAAGTGTAAAGATACTCTTCTATGGCAGGGTCAGATATGACAGTGATACTCAAACACTCTGAATCACCAGTCAGGTGTGTGACTTCTTCATCTTCTTGGTATGTGCCATGGGTTTTAATGTACCTGACATTTGTGTGGTTTCTCTCCTGTGTGGACCAGGTGATGTTTCTGAAGGTGGGCCAGCTGAGTGAAGCTTTTCTTGCACAGGTGACAGTGGAATGGTCTTTCACCACTGTGCACTCTCAGATGGACCTATGATGAAAAGAATCCTGAGTTCTGGGTTCTGATAATGGGTGGAAATGTTTGACATTTGTAATATGAGAATGTTGTTACCTTGAGGTTTGATAGCTGTCCAAATGTCTTGGAACAGACGTTACATTCATATTTGATCTTTCCATTCTGCTTCTTTAGGGGGTAGGGCAGGGATTTGTGCCCAGGGCCATTACGTGGTGCTGTGGTGGTTTTGTTTGTGCTCAGGCTGAGGTTCATGGCTTCTTCATGGCCAGACGGGGAAGGTTTGGGGGGCGTGCAATGGTAGATATCAGGCTTGGCTGGGGGAGACAGTTCTGGGGTGGCTTGGGTGCCTCTTAGTGGTGAAACATTTGGTGTTAGTTCCTTCAGACCTCCTTGTGGACATGGATCATATGGGAGGGACACTGGGAGTAGTTTGGGTGGGCTGACTGGGGGGAATGGGCATACATCTGTCTCCAGGTAACTGCTGTATTGTGGGGTTCCTCTTGTGGAAAACATTCCAGGGAAAGGAGGAGAGTAAGAGGGCAGGAGGAGGCGAGGATAGTGAGGACCGTATGAAGGAAGGAACTGATAAGGGGGCTGAAGAGGTCTGGATTGAGAGTAGAGGGGATAGGAGGAGACAAGCCCCTCCTTGTGGCCGTAGAGGCCATGGAGGTGAAGGGGTAGGTTTCTGTGTGGAGTTAAGAGAGAGGAGTTGTGATTTGGTATGTAGGGGTGATTGTAGCCCAGGCCGTGCTCTCTCCTCTTAGGCTGCTTCTCCATCTTTCTACTGAAGTCCACTATCTGCTCATCAGGAGTGTCAGGAGGTGTGTCTCTCTCCAACATCTCCACATCTGTCTTCTCCTCTCTGACTTCCTTCCTGTGTTCTTCCTTTGGTCTGTCTCTGAGCCTTGTCTGGTGAGGTAGACTCTGGTTGGTTAGCTCTTTGTCACTGGGTTCTGAGGATAAAAACACAAAACCAACAAGTTTTTATTAGTAAATATCCTGCACAGTTCATCCGGCTGCCTACAAGAGACGCACCCTCTCACGGTCAATGATTGTACTTTCAGTTTTCATGTGACATGAATCATAGAAGGAACATTTTTGCTTTTCAGTCACACAAGTGATTTTTCTGTGGGAGTTCATGTATGAAACCTTTTCTCAGTATAGTCTTTCACAACTGACCACAAGTTAAAAAAAGACGTGTCCTGCTTCTGCTCTACTTCTTCTGTTTTGACAACTCATCTGTTTCTCAATGTTCAAGGTTTAACAATAAAAATACTTCTTTATTCACTCACTTCATACTTTTACTGTCTTTTGTTATGTGTGTGAATGTTTCTGTACAGAGCTCTGAGACAACCTGCTGGGACTTGGAGCTACAAAAATAAACTGACCTTCCTGAACTCTCTGAGCTGAGTCACACAGGTCTAAAGTTCTGTTCCATGAGCGATGCTTTTATTTTTACAGCTGAGATATCATGTGATCAATACTAAAGAATAACCTGGGATTATGTGGAGGTGGGGGGAGTTGCTACTGAACAACCAAAATAAGATGGTTAGAATTTAACCCTATCCAGACAGACTAACCATAGGATCAGACCTGCAGGACTAACTGGAACTGAACCGCTGCTTGAATGTTAGTCATGGGGCTGAGCATGACCATCACAAGGTGTCTGATGAATCATGGTTTCCTCTAATCAGTCCAGATGTTGAAAGTTAAACTTGATGATGTAAACAGGAAACAGGTGAGTCACTCAGGCACTTTGGACAGGTGTCTCAGGTCTTTAATATCTCTCCAGTCAAACTCAGCAGCTATAATAATTTTAATATTTTGTTTAAAGTTTCTGTTGGATCTCAAACTACCTGTTGGACAAAGACTCCACCAGAGAACCAGATTACTTCACAACACTTCTATCTAAAACTCTTTAAAATCTTTTCAGGTCTTCTAAGAAAAGCAGAGGACTTTAATGAATCATCGTTCTGCCTCACAGTTAATATGAACAGAAGATCATCTGTTCTTTACCATGTTTCACTCTGTCTTTCTTCAAATTAATCAATAGTTTTGAACCCTAACCCTCCAGTCTTCAGTCTGACCACAGGGACTAACGTCTCTATGTGTGTGGAGACACCAGCTGAACAGCGAGTCAGGTTTTTCCATACAGTCTGTGTTTGCTGCTGTTCTTCCAGATGTTGGGTAAAAAGATGCTTTGGGGGGAGGAACTCACTGTGTCGATGCTTTTCCTGCTGGCCACAGAGTCTCTGGGCAAACTCCTGGCTGTACCACACCAGCAACTCCTGTTTGGTCTCCACGGGCCGGATGGTGTAGAAGTAGATGTCTCTGCCGTTCTGGCAGGCCACCAGGTTCTGTTCTGCCAGGGAATGAGCTGGGTTTACATAACGCATCCAGTTGCTCTTGAAGACATCAAAGCCATCGATGAAGTTTTCAAGATGCCCACCACTGTAAATCTGCAAAAGAAGAAAAGAGCAATGATGGATTGAGTTAAGAATGAAACAGCTGATCTGTCAGCAACACAGCTGCCACCCACAGAATCCAACCCAACTGTAGGACCACAGAATCTCCTGATCCTGAAGGAAAGGTGGACTTGATGGGAGAATAATCACCTCAGCCATGTAGCTGTCAGTCCTGACTGTTGCCTTCTGACTGTTGGTGTCATAGTCACAGCTTTTTAGGTGTGAAGTTTGGAGGTGTGGCATACTAAGTCATCACTGCCTGTTTCTTCTCCTTTCTCACTTCTTCTGTGGTTTCTGACTCAATTCAATTCAGTTTATTCACCGATTCACTGACTCACTGACTCATTGACCGAATGCCACAGAATCACAAGTTATTATCCTGCCTTTAGAGAAAAAACAAAAAGAGTTTGAATTGCTTGTGTAACAAAAATTAATTGAAAGTGAAACATGAGAGGAGCTGGCCTGTAGCCAGGATCCAACCTGCACCGGTGTCACATGGCTGATAACACAATCACACCTGCAGTGCACTTTCAATATTGTAATGAGGCAGGAACACCCCTGGCAGGTTTACAGGAAGTGAAGAGGAAGGAAAAGACCTATAACTATCCTATCCTATCCTATCTCACTGATCTTCTGCAGCCATTATTTTATCAACTGAAGTTATTGAAGTTCCATGATTTGGTAGATTACAGTATTTTATCAGTTATGTATAGAGCTCAAAATAACACACTACCATTAAATATCCAAAGAAATTTTGTTAAAAGACAAAGTTGTTATAATCTTAAGGGGATAGAGATATTTGTCAAACCAAAATTCAGAACTAGTCTGAAGGGAAGGTCTACCTCAATCCAAGGAGTTGGATTGTGGAATGGTCTAGAGAGTGATGTGAAAAATGTCAAGTCAATGTGTACATTTAAGAAAAAGATCAAAACTGAATTGTTAAAAATGTATATATGAAGTAGCTTAGTGTGTGTTTTGTATTAGAATTAGAAAAATTAGAAAGTTATTCATTTTGTACTGTTACTTGAAGATTATTATGTCTGAAATAATTGTTTGAAAAAAAAGGGGCAGATATAAGATTTTTTCTTCTTTCTGCTGCCTTTCATTTTAAATCTTTTGTATCCTTTTTTATATTGTTATGGAATTGTTTTGTACTTTTTTAAAATTAATAAACTTTATACCATACCATATGTCCCACCGCGCTCTCTGAGGTCAGCAGACCAGATGCTTCTCTCAGTCCCAGAAACCCGTCGTAAGCTCAGAGGTGACAGGGCTTTCTCTGTTGCAGGTCCACGACTGTGGAATGAGTTGCCACTGAGTGTCCGGCAGGCTCCCACACTCTCAGTCTTTAAGTCTCGCTTGAAGACCCACTTCTATTCTCTTGCCTTTACCACGTTGCGATTTGTTTTGGTCCGGTCTGTTCTCTACACTGTTGGCCATTTTAGTTAGCTTCTGCTGCTATTTGTATCTGTATTTCTATTTTATGTTTTCCTGTCCGCTGTGCATGTTTGTTTTCTTTTGTACAGCACTTTGGTTGGCCTTGTTGCTGTTTTAAGTGCTCTATAAATAAATTGGTATGGTATGGTATGGTATGGTATGGTATAACGGTGGCAAGAACTCCTTTTGGGAATTGACTCAGGAGTGGAAAAAAATTCCTGAATGATACATGTACAAGCAGCTTCAGAATGGTAGAAAGAAAATAAAAAAGACTGTCCAAACAAACAACAAGATCTAAGTGCCAGGAATCCTGCTGCTCACAACTTCCTCTAGAATTTACACCAAAAGCCCTGAGAACCTCCGCCATCCCAGTGAGACATTCTGTTTCCTTACTGCCATCTGAATGCAGATGTGATGTGAAATCTGAAGACTCAGAGAGGAACAGCTCTATGAGCTTTCCAAGGGTCATTGTGTCCCTGAGACTTTCCCTGTTTCTCAGTGGAGTTACACACGTTAGAGTTACTCACCCTCCAGAAGTACTTCCTGTTGGACTCCTTGGGGACGCTGTCTTTGGTGTAGATGTCTCCTTGTAGGGGCCCAAAGCGAGTCCCCTGAGGAATGTACTCTTTGCTGAAAACACCCATAACCTGTAAGAGAAGAAGCATCACTGGGTGTTTGAGCCATGAGTTGTTTACAGTGTGAGGTGGGACTTGTTGACGTCCAGCAGGTCTTTGACCTGTCTGCTCTGTCATGGTAGCTCAGAGCTTTCAGTTAAACCCTCAACATGACCTACTTACCCTATCAAGCTAAACCAATGAGGAGACTTAATGCTTTCTCTAATCTGCTAGAGACCAGGACCTGGCCTCCACTACAGACCAGGATCTGGGCTCTGATGCAGCCCAGGACCTGGACTCCATTACAGAACATGACTTGGACTCAAAAAAAAGACTAGGACCTGGGCTCCACTACAGACCAAGACCTGAATTCCAATACAGATCAGGATCTGGGCTCTGCTACAGACCAGGAGCTGGGCTCCACTACAAACCAGGATCTGGACTTTGCTACAGACCAGGAGCTGGACTCTGCTACAAAACCAGGACCTGGACTCTGCTACAGACCAGGACCTGGGCTCCATAACAGACCAAGACCTGGACTCATATAAAGACCAGGACCTGGACTCCAATACAGACCAGGACCTGGGGTCTGCTGCAGCCTAGGACCTGGACTCGAATACAGACCAGGACTCCAATACAGACAAGGACCAGGACTTCATTACAGACCAGGGCCTGGATTCCACTACAAACCAGGACCTGGACTCTGCTACAGACAAGGATCTGGACTCTACTACAGACTAGGAGCTGGACTTTGCTACAAACCAGGACCTTGACTCCTCTACAGACCAGGACCTGGGATCCACTACAGATCAAGACCTGGACTCCAATATAGACCAGAATCTGGACTCTGCTACAGACCAGGATCTGTACTCTGCTACAGATCAGGATCTGGACTCTACTACAGACCAGGAGCTGGACTCTGCTAAAGACCAGGAGCTGGACTCTGCTACAAACCGGGACCTGGACTCCGCTACAGACCAGGACCTGGGCTCCACTACAGAGCAAGACCTGGATTCCAATACAGATCAGGATCTGGACTTTGCTACAGACCAGGAGCTGGACTCTGCTACAAGCCAGGACCTGGACTCTACTACAGACCAGGAGCTGGACTCTGCTACAGACCAGGACCTGGACTCCAATACAGACCAGGACCTGGGGTCTTCTGCAGCCCAGGACCTGGCCTCCACTACAGACCAGGACCTGGACTCCACTACAGACCATGACCTGGACTCGAATACAGACCAGGACTCGAATACAGACCAGGACCAGGACTTTATTACAGACCAGGGCTTGGATTCCACTACAGACCAGGATCTGGACTCTGTCACAGACCAGTCGTCAAGTCAGATTTATTTATAGAGCACATTTAAAACAGAAACTGTTACCAAAGTGCTTAACAAAAATATCACATCATCAAATAAAAAGTAGCAAGATATATTTACAGCACATGGAATAAAAATATAAAACCAAAAACAATTAGAAACACTGAAATACTAAATAAGATCTGATGACCTTGTGTTAAATAGGAATAATAACAAAAGCATAAACAGAATCGGCATCAATGAAAAACTAGATCTAAATCTGATCACCCTGTGTTAAATGTCAGTGAGTACAGATGTGTCAGTGAGTACAGATGTGTCAGTGAGTACAGATGTGTCAGTGAGTACAGATGTGTCAGTGAGTACAGATGTGTCAGTGAGTACAGATGTGTTTTTAGGAGAGATTTAAAGGCAGAGACTGAGGTGACCTGTCGAATGTTGATGGGCAGATTGTTCCAGAGTTTAGGACCCACGACTGAAAACGCTCGATCTCCTCTGAGCTTCAGCTGGTTTTTGGTACGGCCAAAAGCAGCTGGTCTGATGATCTCAAAGCCCGAGAAGGAGCATAAGGATGAAGAAGGTCGGAGAAATATGAGGGTGCGAGGCCGTTAATGCACTTGAATGTCAGCAGGAGAATTTTAAAATCAACTCTGACACGTACAGGAAGCCAGTGAAGAGAGGACAGAACCGAAGTAATGTGCTCAAACCTGTGAGTTCCTGTTAGTGAACATGTAGCGGAGACCAGGAGCTGGACTCTGCTACAAGTCAGGACCTGGACTCTACTACAGACCAGGAGCTGGACTCTGCTACAGACCAGGACCTGGGTTCCACTACAGACCAAGATCTGGACTCCAATACAGACCAGGACCTGGACTCCAATACAGACCA